ATATATATATATATATATACACGCCTTCACACAGACCGTATTTTAGATCAACATATCCGAATATCCGAGGGTTGGAAGAGGTCGTTCTCTACACAGATGGTTGGGTACAAGTCAGTCGGCAACACTGCGAATGTATCCAACCGTGCACCCGTGACTGCAAAAAAGACAGACACCATATCCAGTCGCAACTCCAAACAAATTTAGTGTTTTACATTATGAAACAGATTTTCCTCGCCTTCCTGATCCTCACAACCCCTTCCTACAATCGACAAATACACTAATCAACACAAACCCGCTAGGAAGCACGTCAAAACCAAAACGCGTAAAGCTGTGCCTTCTAGCTCCACTTGAAAAATAAGAATTCCTACTGAGCCTGAAAAACAAGTACTTAATTTTTCTGACAGCCACGACCGCCAACTTCCCTCCATTCTCAGTAGAAAGTTAACCTCAAACTACTGCCTCATCTAATTATAAACATAACGGGAGGTTTGCAGAAGTGACTGCAGATTTGTTCACCAACACGAAGTTACTGACCAATCAGGACACAGTCATAATCATATAGGAGGGCAGAATGAAATTAATTTGGGCGGTACTTTACACCTGAATATGTATCAGAAATAACGTGCCGCCCAAAACACTAACATTGTAGTGTCGACTCTGCCCTTCTGGTACAACAAACCAACACTATGAAGCGAGATTCCTCTCAGCAAAACACTTCACCCGGCATGGTCTCCACATGAACCTTGCTGGAAAACACAGTCGGCATCAAGCTTGAACAACACATCATCAACTCCAGTCCTACGCAGTCTCCTGACAAAAATCCATCTCTTTCTCCTTCCTTACGTTCTCTACTCCCCATCCTCATGTCGAACGCACTTACCTCCTCCCCTGATTCTTCTCCCGTTTCTCCCACTCCCAATTCGCTTACATCTGAAATCCCAATTTCCTCTCAACCTGTCACTGGTGGTACACATTACAACCTTCGACCACGCACTCGAGGTAAATATGGAGTAAAGGTCTAGCAAATACATTCAGATGAAGTAGAAAAACATCCGTGAAAAAGATATACTAAAAGTACTACTAAGTACTAAAAGATAAACTAAATATTAAGTAATACTAAATAAATAATAAAATAAGTAGTACTAAATACTAAGTAATACTACATACTAAAACTAAACTAAATACTAAGAGATAAACATGAAAATATATACTTGACCACAATATTGAAAACCTTTAAAATAAAAATCAAATTTATCGAAGGCGCTATAGAGCGATTTAAATCAAATGGATGTTCTTTGCTTCACAGAACATTGGTTATTTCATAATGAACATAGCATTTTCCAAATTCCAAATTTTTACCTCGCCGGCTATTATTGTAGAGAAAAGGAATCGATTAAAGGTCCTGCATTTGGAATTCTTGTATTTGAATTAGAAATAATATCGATTCTATCTCCTTGACGTAATTAATTGTGTATTCCGTCGAAAATGTTTTTAGAACACCTGTAGTACATCTTCCGACGCTCAAAAATATATTACATTGCATCTACAGGCTCTCAAACAAAGAGAGCAGTATAATATATTAGATGCTTTCACTAACACTAGATACAACACTAAATAAAGTCAGCAATCGCTCTTTTAAATCCATTGTATGGGGAGATTTTAACATTGATTTTCTGGTCGAATTGTGCGAGAAATAGAAGTTTCTAAACTTCATTCTAAAGTTCATTCTAAACGACAACCTAAAGTTTATTCGTTCAGTTTAGATATTACAATAAATGTACGGACACAGATCACACTTAATTCAAAGATTTCGATTGATCAGACAATTAACAAAACAACTACACAATATGAAATTGAAACAAAAGATTTGGTCGACTTGACCTTAAATAACAATAAATGTATCGTGGAGGATGCCAAGGACGAAATATGCCGTTTATCATACGCGCGTAAGGACTGTGTGCTGCGCGAGAAGAGCGGCAGAAGAGAGAAAAATCGGCTATTATTCCGCTGGGTGTATCAAGAAACAATTCGGGAGCAGATGCTGCCGGGATCTGGCAGAGGGCGAAGAAAGACGGCGCTTCGGGCACCGTAGAGGGGCTTGTTTTGCAGAGGAGTGAAGTGACAAAGTAGGCCAAGGTCGTGAATCCCCAGCGCCGACGTTCCCGGACGGAGGTAGGCGAAGCCGACCGACGTACGAGCGAAGAACCTTTTAAAGAATCACCGCAACGGAACTTGAGAGGCAGGTGATGCCATGAGCGCGACCGCTGCTATCATTAAACAGGGTCACGCGAACGGCTTACGCCAATGCCTAAGTAGACAAAGATTGAGGGGAAAGAAGCTCTACGTTAACGCAGGCACTGCAGTGAATTGATTGAGCAATCGGATATCAGTGAATGCCGAATCAGTGCAAAGAAAAGTTAAGTGTAAATATCTCAAATACTAGATGTAGTGATTGTTGACTATTATGAGAAGTGTGGTAACGTTTCAATTGTAAACTTTTTCGAAGTAAATTTAACTTGAATTATGCTTTGTTTGAGGAAGGGAGATGAAGAAAATTTCACTTGGTAATTCGCAAACCTTTGCTAGCGTATGATAGCGACCGTGTACGGTGCTGGGAGCATCAAGAATTTTGTCAGTTCAAGGTGCTTCACTGTCGCTGAGGATTGTGATTTACTGATTCTAGAAGGGGATTTTGGTTTTTTTTTCTCGTTTTGTTTGATTAGAATTTCTTACATGGTTATTATGTCAGTGATTTGTGCCAAATTATATATGGTCTTATTTATAAAAATATGTTAACATACTTTTTTCTATTTTTTTCGTTTTAGACTACCATCTGTCTCAACATCGGCTGAGTTGCAAACATGTGGCGAAACAAGAACTACTATCAGAAGGGAACAGATATATTCGACAACAAGTATGTATTCATACTCCTATATATAATTTTTCAAACTCGGGACTGTGACATGAAAAATGTTTGATGTACTTACTATTTTCAAGATCAACTTCCTCTACAATCCGAAGGTGCTAACGAATTCAATGCACGTTTGGAAGACTTGGAAGCTTGCAGTTGTGCTGCTGGACAAAGTGAAGAAAATATGTTAACTGAATATCAACGGCGGAACTCGATGGTTCTTCCTCATTTGAAATCATCGTACGCCGTGACAAATGGGACAAAATTGCGTACGGTTACAGAGAATGAAATTAAGGTATAAACTAGGAACGCCTTTATTGTAATGAACAGTTTAAGTAACAATCCTGTGGAAGCCGTTAGTTATGTTGGTATTATCATTGTCAGTTCGTAGCCTTGTAAACATGCCTCCAGTGGATGTAAGATTTGAGTGGATTAACATGCTCAAAATTGAATGGTGTGAAATTGTTGAATAAGACACAGGGGAAACGGGGGTTTTCCGCGAAAACCTCTCGCGAATCTGTTTTGCCCCAGCTCAAGTTGCTCAGGGGATTCTGACTTCATTCCTCTTTTAAGCCATGTAAATGAGTGATCTTCATTGAAATGCACCTTGTCTGTTCTTTTTAGATATTGTCCATAGAGTGGATCATGAGATGATCTCCTATCCACGATTTCTTTGACATTTTGTCTCGCATTTCATGTTAAACAGCATCAGAAGTTTAGTGTGTCTTGTAATTCTGCGTGTCTTGCATAGTCTTGTTCGCAATGCTTCTTGCTACACTAACAATGCCTCTGCATTCCATTCAGTCAGATTTCATGACCTGGCTCATTAGTGGTAACCTTGATCGCTGGCTACATACTTTCCAATTCCGACTATTGAATTGTGCCAGTAGGCTTCAATTAATCCCAGATATCGTCCTTCTTTGTTACGTGACAATGAACTCATCAACTTGAAGGTGTATGACATGTTGCATTGTAAGCAGTTTCTGGTTTTTTGATTCATTATTTGAATTTCTAGCTCATTCGTGCTATTATTATTATTATTATTATTATTATTATTATTATTATTATTATTATTATTATTATTATTATTTGTGGTGGTGGTGTTCGCAAATTGGCCGTCTAAGACCATGCGGACTTACACCTGCTCTTACATTTATCCCGTAGCAAGTGAATGTGACCCTTTCGTGGGGGATCAGCATTGTACTGAGTCAAATTCTTACTCCCTAGGGTTGCTCATTCTGGGGGTTGGAAGGTTGCATGATGATAATGAAGGAAGAATAGGAATCACACTCAAGACATACACACAGCGATCTCGGCTATCCGGATCGTCGTTCTTATCATTTATATTGTTGTTGATGTTGTTGTTGTTTTTGTGGTGGTGGAATTTTGATCTTGACGTCACCATTTATTCTTACAATACAGGTAACGCGACTCATAAGACATAAAATGCGTTTTTATGGACTGTTTAATATTGCAACTATTAAAACCCGTATTCTACACTACTAGAGTGCTTTTTACGAGATGTAAAATTAATTGGTTGTTTTCTGTGCAGTTTGGCTCCAGCGGTTGTCCTCAAGGAAGAAGAGATACCTTTTAATTATTTTGTAATTTCACTCTTATTTTAATCTCACAATTTGTTAACGTTTGAGTGGTTTCAATGTTGCAAAAGTGGTTACTTATAGAGAAGAGTTTACACATAACCATTTAATGGGTCGATAAATTCATTGTACGTGATATATACCTTATATAATAAGTATGTGTACAATATGAACACATCTGTTGGTACATTGTCATACTCTAAATATGTTGGGAAAACGTTTAAACTAAATATCAACTATAAACTATTAAATGTAAGATGTGTCCATTTTTATTTTGTTTCTTATATTTGCAATTTAAGAGAACTTTCTTGAAAATGAATTGTTATTATTGATAATGTACATTGGACGCCCATAAATATATTAAACAGGCAACACTTTTGTAAAGTTGTTTCTCTTATTTTCCAATCAATATTGATGAATGCCTTAACTTTTATTTCTAGTGAATTTCGATTGGATAATAATGTGGTTATGTAAAATTACTTGTTTTACAAATCAGAGGTACGCTATGTAATGTCGATACGTGCCTCGACTTTTACGTGTGATTCGTGACACATGTGGTTTGTGCCGTCGTGGAAGTAAATCTACACGAGATATGAGATTTGTACGGGTTATTCCAAGAACATCTTATACAACATTTTCACCTCCGTAAACACTACCGGACCAATGGGCTTTGTCCCTTCCACGGAGCCAAGTCGCTTCATCCGTGATCTCGCCACACGTCCGACCGCCGCCTCGTTCGCCATCTAATTAAAGGATAATACCACGCCTTTCCCCATCTTTCCTACAGAATATTTGTCAAAGCCGTGATCTATGGCCAACAGCGAGTCGATTCGCCACAGTTCTCCAGAACCGCCCTCAGGTCTCGGGCTCAGATGCGACCGCGTTCACATCTAGTGTGGTTTATCATGCTGCGTGTATGTATTCGTCGAGTTCTATCATAGCGAGGGATCAGCGCTATAACGTAGAATCTTAAGGTACGCTATGCCACGCGTTCGCATAGAAGACTATCTTCAAATTTCTCAGACACTGAGCCCTTTGAGGTGGGTTGGTCCATGTCCTGACATGGGGATGCATAGGAGGCCCTAATGTGTTCCTTACTCCGTTTTTTACATCTTATTTCTTTTATTTCATGCCACATATATTCCTTTTCACCTTTTTTACTTCCTCGCTAGCTTTCTCTATGTGCTGAACCGTCGCCTGGTCGTTCTCGCGCAGAGCAAACGTCGTGTGGCGTCATATCTGTCGCCAGTACAAACGTACTATATCAGCCACGTGGACAGCGCTGGCGGAAGAGACGCTGGGCTGCACAAAGGCTAGGGAGCCAGGGAAGGGGGCCGTGTCGTGGGTGGCAACGTGGAAACCCCGGAGCCGGCGGAAACGCGTCGGCGGACACTGCGGGTGACGCAGTTCCGTCAGCCTGCCCAGAAGGTTTATAAGCGGATCCCGACCTAGCTCGATCTTCTGTTTTCATCTGATTCTTGGGCGCGTCGGTAAGGCGTCGTGTGGGTTGTGCGCGGCGTTGCATTGTAATGCTTAGGGGACCGAGACGTGGAACCGAAGCCGGTGTGCTACGTCGTGACGGTAGGTGCGGCATACTCGCTGATATGCTCGCGTAAGGTACTAGTGCATCACACCGAACATGGTAATTAATTATCGGGCCAGCGGTGGTGGTAACCAGGGAAAGTTCCTTCTTGTAACGGACAATTTATTTGTAAATATTGTATATAGTATTATGGTGTCGGAGTATTTTATTTCTAATAAATACTAAATATTTACAAGCCGTTCACGTCTGTAATTTATTGCCCCGGCAAGACGCCACAGTCGGACGTAAGGGCGTCTGTTCTTGAATGTGCTCGCCGCTTCACTAGATGTTCACCAATTCCGGGTTTCTCTCGTCACTCGCTGCAGCGCATCACGAAGGATGAGTTGCAATTTCATCCTTACTAAATTATGATCGTGCAGCAGTTTCATGAACGTGATTACGAGAGTTTAGTGAGAGAATGCTTCATGTTCTTGCTACAGATTTTGTTCGCGATGAAGCGTACTTTCAATTAGACGTTTATGTAAACAAAAAAAACTGTCGATTTTGGGCAGCAGACAATCCAAAATAATGCATAAAAACACTGCACAGGACAGTGTGGAGTGTCCCAAGTGAGAATTGGCGGACCTTATTCATTTTAAGAAGGCGGTGTTAATGTAATAGTGAATACTGAAAGTTATGTTGCAATGCTACGCGATTTTGTGCGGCCACAACTGAATACTTTAGGGATGAACATGGCAGACCTGTGGTTCCATCAAGGAGGAGTCACAGCCAGCACGGCTAATGCTTCCCTGGAAGTTGCTCGAGAAATGCTTTCCCAGCACGTAATCAGAGCTGTCCACTGGCCAAATTCGTCGCTTTACGAATTATTACGGGGTTAATTAAAACGTAAAGTGTGCTGCAATAAATTTCGCACTCTCAACGAAATGAAAGTTGTAACATATGAAGAAATTGATTCAAAAATGATACACGGTTCATCGTGCCACTCAGTTTCGTCACATCGAATGCTTTGCCAATATTGATATCGCATTTAGTGTATAAGCATGGCACACGATTCATGCTGAAGTGAAATAAAAATTGGAAACATATTGAAATATGCACACAGTGACCAAATGCGTCCAGAGAAGGTGGAATAAAACCTGCCCTTTTCTCGTTCGTTAGGTACTCTTAGTTGTCGTGTTGTAGCCCCTGGTTTTCCTTGTACAATGCTTTTGAGGGTGTAAACTGAGGTGCATCTAGCAGTAGCCGCCCATGATGCGAACATCCCAAGTTCCATGTCCTTGCGTCGCCACGCCACGCCACGCCACGCCACGCCACGCCACGCCACGCCAATGAACTAGTCTTAACCACATCATAGATGTCACAATCATACATTGCTGCAAAAATCCACTTGCTCCATCGTATTATTAGGTGCTGCGCTGGCAACGGTATATCAGGAGACTAAGTAAAAGGTTCCTAAAATGACTACGGACTGCAGGAGATTAAAAGGTTAAATTCTCTATGGGTTTTAAGGAAATGCTTCTTTGCATTGGAAGCAAATTTATCTACTTCAGGGAAATTTCTTCTCGCATCTTATGATGTAGTGGTAATGTGGTAAAAAATTCACACAATGCTGAGTGATCCAAAAAAATGTTAGAACCGCCAGGACCATCCACTTAGTGTTCCGACTATAACATTGGCAACGTAACGTCGTTGGACATCCATGGCTTTATCAATTCAAGCAAAGAGTGACTTAGTTTTCAATACTGCTGCTAGTTCTTTGCATTGTAATCTTGTGGCATTCGACCTACGTACGAAGCGTACATTCTCCTGGAATTCTTTGTTCAGAGTACCTGGGTCGGATTCAGAGCCGAGTTTTGAGAGAAGGGGAATTTGTATATGTACAAAAATATAAATTATAAACAAGGCAAATTATGTATCATAATATGATTTTAACAAAATTAAAATATTAAAATTAATATTTAATTAATACTTTGTATTTAAATTAAAAATGGTATTAATTTGTTATTAAATTCTTTGAATTCCGAGCTGCAAAACGACGGAGGATTAGAGTATTATATTTTTCATTCAATGATACAGATGTGAACCGTTAGAATTTAAATAAAAACTCATATCTATTTACAAATTAAACATTCGCTTACATACAAAAATGACTGTCCAGAAGTGAACATAGTCGACTGGATTTCACAAAATATGTCTCGAGCTTCTTCTACTTTATTAGATTTCTTTCTCTTTGCTTATTATTTTTAGATATTTTCTTTCTCGTAAGAACTTATTAACCGCCCCGTCTCCAGGTCCATGTAAGCGATCCATGCCCCATTCTTTTACTTCGGGCAGACTGTAATTGCGCAAAATGTCACAGCGACCCACGATCACTTGCTTGGCACCTAGAAAGAAACTTTACTCCGTCAACACTTTTTTCGGTTGCGTCGACCACACTCCAATACGTGGACGTTTGCCGGTGCTAACCGCTTGTAAAGCGGAGGAAGAATGAGATATGAGCTGTCATTTGTCTCTGGAGATGAACAGTCGAAGACATTTTTCATACGTACCACTGGGCTAAAATACAGAGATTCATATTCCCATTCGTAACTAAAAGCCTAAACACAGAACGCGCGATTATTTTTTCGATACATTTTAGAGGTTTCCACATTTTTTCTTATGTTTACTATTTTTATTTTTTCTGCACTTGGACCATTTTCATTTTTTTTCTTATTTTCGAGGAGCATGCCCCCTTCGGACACTGTGATTACATCAGTAACATATATAACAGGTTGAGTTACACATCTGAATGTGTTTTTAAACAAATTTACGTAATTTTATTTGATTTTAGGGCATTTTAAAAACATTTTAAGTGTGTTTTATTGATCATGTTTGGCGATGTTTTAGGTCATCAAAAGTCCCCCTGTAGTTAATATATTTCCCCATCCTAAGGATACTATATAAATGCCCGACTGCGAGTCCAGGGTGATTGGTACATTAAGATCTTTATTCAAAATGTTTTGGTCGAATGTGTCATATTACAGGTTATATAGAATGACGCATGTTAAACTCAGCTCATGCTGCGATTTTCATTTGTTTTAGTGATTACCGAAAATATTTTTTCAGAGTAGAGAGAAAGTTCGTAATGCTGTTGTCTAGGCTATCCGGGACGAGCCGGATTAGAGAAAGAGTCGGGAAGAATCGGCTCGTCCCGGATAGCCTAGACAACATAAACTCCGGCCAAGGAAGCCTACGCCTTATGTAATGCTGCGAATTTTCGGCAAGCAAAACCCTTAGTGCAGGACCTTGGTAAATAAAAAGGGATATATCCACTTGTTGAATTAAAAAAAATATTCCCTAACAAGTGGTGTAGCCAGAATCTGTTTTGTGGTTCCTTGAAACCGAAAAATAGAATGAAAAGTCGGCTGCTGTCCGTCTGTGAAGAACTCTAGAGTCTAAACCGTTCTGCCGATTTTCTCCAAAATTGATAGTCCCCGATCGAACTGGCTGGTGTCACGGCCCCTAGAATTTGAAACAGATATTTTAATTTTAGGTGTAATTTACATGATTCCAGATGGACATTTTATTTTTTTGCTCCATTATGGCGCAGTTCTCACGATCATTGAAATTCGTAATTTTTTGAAAATATCAAAACTTCACAATTTTTTCGCAGTCTTCCTACAACTAAAATTTTAAGAGAGATATTTTTCCCCCTAATAAAATCTGTTCCTTAAACATAGATTTTGAAATAAGGTCATAGCATTTTTGGAGAATTTGAGCATTTTTCGTGTAATTTAACGTAAAAATACGGGGGAGAAAGTACGTGTTGTTTAAGAACCACTAGTTACTTTACAGTTTCGTG